ATGAAACCTTAAACAATTTTAAGTGTACCTTGCAAATTCGAGCAACTTCGACCGAAGAATTAGGCAAGCTGAAAAAAAAGAGATAATTTATTATGAAAGTCATTTGGTGTCTCATAGAAAGACACCTGCAGTTTCTGGTATCTTTCTTGTCTGTCATCTTGAACGAAACATTTACTATGTCAAATAATGGAGGAGAAATGAATTGTTTATTCTGGTAAAAGTGCGCCTAAAATATGTTTTAAAACTCCTACAGAGTGCGTAAAGTTGGCTCAATGTTTCATCGTGCACAAATTGTCGAGATGATTTTATCATACGGACGGAAAACGTTGTGCTTCTTGTCTAACTTGTAGTGACGAAGCCCTGGGAAGAAAGTCGAACGATTTTACAAGAATAGGAACTTTTGAAATAATTTCGAATCATTATTACGAGTTGATTTAACGTTCTTTGAGACAAGGCAGTGGACAATTCAGTAAACTATCAGTAATATGAAAAGGACGTAAGTAAATTTCAAGACAGTGTGTATGACGAAAGACAAAAGTCATATTTACAGCGCCATTAATTTATTTGAACTACACTGTCGACGACTCATTAAAAACTGTCAAGCTAAAAAATATTTAGCGAAAAAATTTTTAAGTATTTGCCATATCAGCGTAAATTTACATCGCATTTTGTTTAATTTTTTTTGTCCTCATTGTCAACTTGAATTTGTATTGTAGCTCTGAAGCCCTTGAGGTTCGAGCAAATCGTTTATATTGTGTGTGCTTGACGTCCGTGAATTGTGGTCATTGTGACTTTCGCGCAAGATGGAGCTGTTTAAACTCTGATAGATCAATTCCAACACGAATCGTCAGTTTTTGCCAGAAGACTTCTTCGAGGCCAGAGCAAGTTTTCAAATTAAAATTACGCGACAGGTTGACGAAAGTCCTTTCTTAATTAGAGAACTAACTTTTAAAACCACAAACAAGTGCCACATTTCTTACGGCAAAAAGAAAAAAAATGCAGTTTTCCCTGCCTGTAAAAATTTACTCAGCCCTTATTAATCTTCAGGAAGTCACATACACCGTAAGTGGAACCCTTTTGATTGATACAAACATAAGTATGTTTAGAGCTTTCTGTGCAGCTTATGCAATGGGAGGCTTGACGTTTCTTGAGGCAGGCAATATTTCCTTAGACAAACACTGGATTATTTGAGAACTTGGGGGAAATCTTCTTAAACAACATTAAAAGCTACTTTAGAACGAATATGATGTTTCATAATGATAATTTGTCAATGTTATCAGCTGCAAATTACGCTTATTGCAGAATTTGAGATCGTATGACATTTGCGTCGTTTTTCCTAAAAAAAAATTTGAACTTTGCCAGAGTAACTAGGTCTTTCTAAACGAAAGCAGATTAAGCAGACTATCAATACACAAGGTTTACTAACTAAACCTTAACACGATTATTTCTATGTAACACGAAAGCAGTGGCACACAATATGTTGCTCTGCTTACTTCAAAAATTTCCCCAAGGTCGCCAAAGTTTCAAACCCGTCCAAAATGCTGAATGTGTTAATAACAACTTAACAACAACACCCAATTTACCTTTTGTTAAAAGTAAAATGCAAGGTTCAGGATGAAGGCTAAAACATACACGATGCTTCGCAAAATAAATCTTGCAAGCTTCACCACAATATTCTGTATTTCTAGCATCTGCATTTCCTTGATTGTTAATTCCATACTCTACATCTGCACCTACTTACTTCGTTTCAAGGCGCCAATGAAACACATTTAACGAAAGATGAATCGTAATCGGTGGAAAATAAGTCAACATGAGCTTTATTCGAACAGTTTGGTCGATACATAATTCCAGAAATAGCACGATTTAATTTATCCCCTGCCTAAATAAAGTATTCTCTATGACGTTGAAAACGCGAATAAGACCAGTCGACAGTTAAAAGGCAACTATCTGATTTCAACTCGAATAGTAAACAGGGCCTTTGGAGCGACGCTATATGAGTTTCTTGAAAAATGCACGCCTCTTAGGTGAGGCAAACCCCATGTCCTGAAAGCTGTCTTCGAAACAATTTCACAAATCTCTACTGGAACATTTTCTTGAATTCATGTAAAGTTCTTTGCTTCAGATACAAAACAAAAATGTAACGAATTTTGAAAAAAGGTCGTCCGTACATAAGTTCTAAAGATTGTTGGACAGTTTTCAATTTCAGAAATTAAACCATTCGTGCATCGAGACTAATACAATTGAAATTTAAACAATAGAGACTTGAGGATTAGAAATGTGGATCACACAGTTTTTCCAAAGTTTTATTTCTTAAATTAAATTGAAGTTCGAAATTATTGAGCTATTTTTCAGTGGCAAATCACACCTAAAAGAACTTAAACAATTTTAAGTGTACCTTGAAAATTCGAGCAACTTCCATCGAAGAATCAGGCAAGCTGGAATGATAAGAGATAATTTATTAAAGACGTCATTTGGTGTCTCATAGAAAGACGTAAACAGCATCTGATATGTGCCTTGTCTGTCATCTTGAAAAAAACATTTAATATGTTGAATAAAGGGGAAAAATGTATTGTTTATTCTGGTAAAAGTGCGCCTAAAATATGTTTTAAAACTCCTACAGAGTGCGTGAAGCCGTCTAAATGTTTCATCGTGCACAATTTGTCGGGATGATTTTACCATGCGGACGGGAAACGTTGTGCTCGTTGTCTAACTTGTGGTGACGAAGCCCTAGGAAGAAGAGCGAACGATTTTACAAGAATAGGAACTTTTCAAATAATTTCGAGTCATTATTACGTGTTGATTTAGCGTTGCTTGAGACAAGACAGAAGACAATTTAATAAACTATGAGTAATATTAAAAGGAAAAAAATTGACATTTCTGCAGCGATAATAATTTATTTAAACTACATTGTCGACGACTCATTAAAAACTATGAAGCTAAACAATATTTAGCGATCGATTTTAAATATATGGCGGAACAATGCAAATTTACACCGCATTTCGTTTGATCTGTTTGTCCTCACTGTCAACTTGAATTTGTATTGTAGCTCTGAAGCCTTTGAGGTTCGAGCAAATCGTTTGTATTGCGTGTGTTTGACGTCTGTGAATTATGGCATTGTGGCTTTCCCGCAAAATGGAGCTGTGTAAACTTTGATAGATATATTCTTACACGAATCGCCAGTATTTGCTGGAAGACTTCCTCGAGGCCAGAGCAAGTTTTCAAGCTAAAATTAGGCGTCGGGTTGATGAAAGTCCTTTCTTAATTAAAGACCTAACTTTAAAAACCTCAAACAAGTGCAATAGTTCTTAAAGCAAAAAGGGAAAAAAATGTAGTTTTCCCTGCCCATACAAATTTACTCAGCCCCTACTTATCTTCAGGAAGTCGCATACACCATAAGTGGGACCCTTTTGATTGATACAAACCTAAGAGTGTCGTTGTATGTTTAGAGCTTTGCGTATAGATTATGCAATTGAAGGCTTGACGTTTCTTGAGGCTGGCAATATTTCCTTGTCAAAGACATTCTTCTCTTATTAGTTTTTAATTAGCGATCCTTTATTAGCACACGGTGGAGTTTCCTTAGGTACACACTGGATTATTTGAGAACTTAAAGGAAATCTTCTTAAACAACGTTTAAAAGCTACTTTAGACCGAATTTGATGTTTGATGGTCATAATTTTTCAAAGAAACCTGGTGAAAATTACGTTTACTGAAAAATTTAAGATCGTGATGACATTTGCGTAGTTTTTCCTAAACAAATATTTGATCTTTGCCATGGTTCAGTGACATTGTTGAAGGAACAAGGAAGTTCTTATCTAAAGTTAATCATCGTTTTGGCTTGAAACCAGGTGTTTCTATGGTAATCATAGCTACCATATTGTTATAAAAGAAAGCACTTTTACCTCAAAAGTAGTAAGACCAAAGAGCTTTGCATCTTGAGAGGTAAGACTTGATTATATCGAAAACACCGATGGATGATTTGAGTAATACTATCCCTAGAAAATTTATATTCTTTACGAAAAGGATTTGCATATCAAAGGAAAAGGTTGGCTTCACTCCCAAAGAAGGGTATGGTGCGATTTCAAAAGAAAATTATCTTGAGGTCTTTTTCAACGAAAGCAGATTATCAATACTCGAGGTTTACTAACTGAACCTTTACATGATTACTTCTATGCACCACAAAAGTTCTGGTAAATAATATATTGCTCTGTTTATCTAAAAAATTATCAAAAGGTCGCTAAAGTTTGAACCCCGTCCAAAATGTTGAATGTGTTACGAACAACGTAGAAAGGATTATTTATCAGATATAGTTTGGAAGCTTTATATTTGAATCTTTCTTACCCTTTGGGTTACTGGACTTTGTAGATAAATAAAGGGTTTCAATAATCTTCGGGATTTTTATTTCATAACTGAATGAGGATAATCAGCAGCTTATAAATGTTAATTAGCCAACTTGCTAAAGATTGCATTTTTTTCTCGCTCATAATGAGACTATGTTATTTAATCTGGAGTTTTTGTCGAGTTTGAGTCGTTGTCATTTTACATTTGGAACCAATATTTCGAAATGAAGATTTTTTAATGCTTGAACATTCGTTCTTCTATGGGGGCGTAAAGTGATCAGGCCTATCAGGAGGACATTTCAAAATACCTTAAGCAGATCAAAGTTATCATTCCACAGAAACTAAAGGAGCCTTCAAAATTAAAGTTTAATGTTAAGAGTTTTGCTGATCTTCCTTGACGATTGGCATCCTATCGAGCCTTGTGCAAATTTTTTACTCACATCATGAACTAGAAAGTGCCTGAACGAATTTACAGCCAAGGTTTTAATGTACGTGTAGTATTATTGCTGTATGGCTTCATCTGGTATCAAACAAGTTTTGTTGAGGGGAAACTCGTCTTTTTTCTTTCTATGATCCTATTCTCAATATTTTCAGATTCAGCTCAAGCAAAGAAGTATGTGGTGGCTGTTCTGCCATTTAAGATTCGTCCTTTTCGTTTCTAACATGGATTTTGTCACAGCTAATGATCAGTGTAGGACCGAAGTAAACATAGAAGGAATGGCTCTTGGGAGTTCTGACTTCAAAAGATGTTCACTGGCAGCTCCTCACCTTTGCGATGTCAAATGTAGACAAGAGATTACGTGCCAAAGCTATAACTACAATCGAAAATACCAAATATGTGAACTAAATAACCGCACTAAGGAGGCGAGACCAGAGAATTTCCTTCCAGCACCCGCGTGGTTTTACATGCGGCGATCGAACGGCAGAGGTAAGAAATCAAAAGTCTTTCCAGCAATGTGATTTCTGTTTCTCTTAAATCTTCTCCATCCTCAACCTGGTTCCTTCTCACCTGGAAGAGCTAAGAATAGGAAGTGAATGTCAAACATATCTTTACTGCAGCTCCGTTAGGTTCTATCCCTGAATTACCGGCGCTGTCTTGTCACGAAATAAAGGCGAGTGAAGGTAAACACACCATAAGCGGCAAGTACTGGCTGGATCCAACTACGAAAGGAAAAGCAAAACTGATTTACTGCGATATGGTTAACGAAGGTAGGTCCTATAACTTTGCTCGAGTTATTTTATTTTGTAATGAGTTATCAGTATTAAGAAATTAATATAAATTATACTATTATTGATATCATTATGGCAATATTTAGTTTGGATCAGTTCTAGTGAGGATGCCTCTCTCAAGTTGCTCTAACTTAGTCCCTGTTTCTCTTTCAACATTCTAGATATGGATGAATGTAAATTTAACATCAGTGACTGCGACGTGAATGCAAACTGTACTAACACGTATGGTTCTTACAAATGCACATGCAAAGTTGGATACATCGGTGATGGACGCTCATGTTCAGGTAGTTTTGAAGATGATCTTATTGATATTTCCTTATGTAACTAATTTTTGTTAATCATCTCATAATTTTAAGCAGCGTTATTCATGCATGTTTATACACAGAGTTACCATGATCCACATATTTTGTTACATATTTTGTAACGATAAGAGGATTTGTATGACTATGAGTCATAAAAATGATAAAGTGAAAAATGTATCTATGGTTTCTTAGATATTGACGAGTGCAAAGGAAATCACTCTTGTCACGTGAATGCTACATGCACGAACACAAAAGGGTCGTACGTTTGTACTTGTCACCCCGGATATACTGAAAATGGAAGCGTTTATTTTGTATTCATTCCCATTAAAAAGAAAAGCATTATCATCTTTGCAAGACTTGTTTTACGAGCTTACCTTGTATAGAAAGAGATGAGTATAGGCCTGAAGACAATGGCGATAATGACACCATTGCATTCAATAAATGTTCAGTGGTAAAAAATCTCAACTGGCAAAGGGAGACTAAATTGAAGTGCTCACGTCTAGAACCACAAGACAAAGGCTTCTCAGCTTATGCCCCGTAACTTTTCACCAATAACAATTTTTTTTTGTTTATGATTTTACAGATATTGACGAGTGTAAAGGAAATCACTCTTGTCACGTGAATGCTGCATGCATGAACACCCTTGGATCACATGTATGTCAATGTCATGCTGGATATACTGGAAATGGAGAAAACTGCATAGGTAAATTTCATCTCTTCTTTACAACATGTAGAATAGTCCTGCATGACACGTTCGACTACAGTGCCGCACCATCCAGCTGCGTTGCAAGACAATTAGACAATTTATCACGAAGAAACTCGGTCATTTTGTCCTCACATGTTCACCCCCTCGAGTGTTCAAGTCGCTATCTTATGAGAATATAAACTGTTATAATCTCTTGGTATCGAGTTGAACAAGAGAAGAGAAGTTACATGACCGCAAGCAACCATGTACTATTTTGATTATCATATAAACACAATAGGCCTTTACTGAGAATGAAAGGTGACTTTTTTAAAGAATGATATAATAGGTTTCACAATCCGCCAAAAAAAGTCGTAAAGCGCGTCGGCGATAAGGGTCAAGATGAAAAAATGCGTTGAACCATTACAGAAACAGACAATGGGCGTTGCTTTCTTTTCACAATATTCTTAGTTATTGACTTTTTCCTTACCGACAAAAGAAATATTTTCATGTACACGGCCGAAAGTTACAAAAAAAAATAATTTTTTCTTGATGATGCATAACTGTTCTGCAAATGTAATTATATTGGTGATGTTCAATTAAACAGAATAGTCTGATTGGTTAAAATCGATGTTGATCGCAGTTACGATTTTCTCACTCTGACCTAATAAGGTGGGTGATTCCTCAAAAAAAAAAAAAAGTCATCTAACAATTTTATTAGTCTGCCTTTAAATGTTTCCAACCAATGGCTGTTTCGACAAATGCAATAAGAAAGGCAGGTCACCGTGCTTGTTTGAGAGAAATGACGGGCCAAACTTTCTTCATTTATGCCTCTATCAGCAATTTTTCACGCGCGTCATTTCAAGGTACATTTTTCGGTAGCTGGAAGCAAGGGTTTTCGAAGTAAAAATGAAAAGAAAAAACTTCAAAGGTACAAAGTTTTATATATATTAGCAATTGTTACTGCTCAAAACGTTCCTCACGTCGTTGTTTTCAAGGTAATAATTTTCATCATCAAGTAACACGCTTTTAGCTATGTCCTTTTTTTTTCCTTCGATAATTTTTCTTAATTTCTCCAAATTCTTAATTTCTACGCAAAAAATATGCAATGAAATATAGAGGTCACCGCGCTCGTTCAAGAGCTAAAGAGCATTGTACCTGTTTGCACGGTCTATTTATTGAAAAGCAACACCATGTTCTCGGAATGCGTGCGCTTATTTGCCTAATTACGTGATTTTTATGCGTAGTACAGGATGCCCAGTGCAATACTGAGGAATCACCTTTAGGCTGATAGTAATATTCAGTTTGGTTTGTTTATTTAAATAGTAATTAATGGAAGAATATTTGTCCAAATAAGAAAAACGTAGACAAATTCGAGTGTAGCCGACGAAACGAAAGTCGAAATTAAAGACTTTTGCAGACAGAAATCCAACAGCACTTAATGTAATACTAAGAGTGACTTAAACCGAAGGAAGAAGATTTTGTCAGTCACTGGAAAAGGCTCGAACAGAACTGCACTAACCAAAAAATTTACAAGGCGCGATGAGCGATTCAACTTCTCAATCATGTCTTTGGGCTGTTAAATCGGGCAAGGTTTCGTCAATTTAAAGAAAAGGTTAATTACAGTAACGCTCATTTTCAATTTAATCAAATTCCTCCTCTTGAAGTTCTTTCCTTAAGGAGTTGCATATTTCAAACACTTTCGGTATTTTCTGTCAAATTTGCCAAAGCTGAACAGTTTCATTTACACGGTGCTGGCACTTACCGCGAGTTTCAACTTTACTTTTTACAACCCGAATTTTTGATTGGTTTATTTGTTGTCAGATGCACGATTTGATTGGCTATTAGGAAACACTGTCGTCCAAAGCAAGTGTTGAGAAAATATTTATCAGTCATGATATAAACAAACAATATTTACCTTCCTCTGTAACGTTATTGGAGAGATATGCTTATAATATATAGGGCACTTTTTCCCGTGTTTACATTTTCTCATTTAAACACTCGAGGCTAGGAAATTTCTTGAAAGTTATGCAAACCCTTGACTGCGTATCGGGTTCGCATAACTTTCCCAAATTCTCCTAACCTCCTCTCGTGTTTAGATGAGAGTTTGTAAACACGGACAAAAAGGTTCTCTATTGCTTAAGCAGTAATCGGCTCTAAATGAAGTTGTAATTGCATATCTGCTCAGTTTGAAGAAAAACCAGTTACTTCAGTACAATTCCATTACGACACAAAACTTTTTCACGGTCAAATAATTCTAGCCCAGGGAAATTTTTACGGGAGCACCTATTAACAATTTTGATGGCTTTACATTCATCAACAACCTTTTTTGTTGTAGGCAGTCGATGATTGCAGGGCTGTATGAAAAGCGATCACCGAACGATCGCGCCACAGTCATGCATTGAAATTAGTTGAGTATGGTAACTTTTAAAGGATTTTGTATTGAGGCTCTATGACAAACTCGGCTATTTTGTACTCATTCAATAAATAGAGAATAATACTTGGGTGCGCTTTGATTTGGAATTTCTCTTCGAATATTCAACTTGTTATCTGGTGAGTGAGAGCAGCGAACGAGTAAAGTATCGAGCAAGAGAATATAAACTGTTATAATCTCTTGGTATCGAGATAAACACGAGAAGAGAAGTTCCATATCTGCAAGCGACCATCTATTATTTTGTTTATCATGTAAACACAATAGGCCTTTACTGGGAAGAAAATTTCGTCTTTTTTTAAAATATGAAATTATAGGTTTCACAATCCGCAAAAAAAGTCGTATAGCGCGTCGGCGATAAGGCTCAAGATGAAAAAATGCGTTGAACCATTACAGAAACAGACAATGGGCGTTGCTTTCTTTTCACAATATTCTTAGTTATTGACTTTTTCCTTACCGACAAAAGAAATATTTTCATGTACACGGCCGAAATCGGCCTGTGGCAAATCTTCCAGTTGTCGATTTCCGTTCTCAGCCACGAGAAATACCATTACCCAGGCCAAGGACCTAACTTTAGGTTTATTTTTTCGTATTTGTCTTACTTCCCCTTCTAGGAAAGATTGAGGTTAGAAATACGAATTTTTCTCTTTTTTTTAGCAGCCATGATTCGAGAAAATATCGATATGCAACCCTGGATTGAGAACGGTCATCGCTTTGCCATTCATTTATTAACCTGACACAGCTGATTAGTGATATCAAACACATGTAAAAAATTATCGTAATATTACACGCGCGTTCAACAAGGATTTCCTGGCTCTTCTCTGGGCGGGAAATCGTTTCAAACCACCGCACGCTATATAATAGCTTTTTTTTCTTAAGCTTTCTTACAACGTAACATATAAAACATCGCATTAACCAAAATTCAACTTTTTAGCCGATCCGTGCTATGGTTATAGAAACTTGAGCGATGCTGACAGAAAGAGCACTTACAACACACCCTACGGTGGAGAAAAATGTGACGACGAATCCTCATCCTTAATATTCGGGAAATGGTATCGTTTCGTGGGAGATGCAGGAACAAAAATGCCAACCCGGTGCGTACCGGATTATAGATGTGGTGCGCTCTTATCAGGCTGGCTGAAAGGTGGTCACCCCACATTGCCAGATGGTGAGGTTTCCTCCAAGATCTGCTTTACCGTGATTATATGCAAGTTGTTTACCATGTTAAGTCACGATTTTCATCAGCATCATCATTTACGAGGATTTTTAAATCGTGTTAGGTGTGTTATGGATAGGGACTGTAAATAATTTCTAGAGTTCTTAGTCACTATGACATTGATACTCAAAATTTCTGATGACATAGCAAGGAAAACTAGAACATTATATTAGTCTACGTAATTATGAACTATTTCTACCACAATAGTTGTGTTGTAAGCTTCGAATTCCAGAATGTTTTGAAATACATTGTGAATGATTATAATTTAAGGACTCAGTCAACTAACAGCAGTAGTTTCTATTGTTGGAAAAGACCGAATATCTAGGCAATTCTACCGAAAGATAGCTCAATACTGTGATATACTTCAAAGATTTTGTATTTTGAGGAGATTTGGAGGAACTAGAACTCCAAAAACCTGCATGGATAGTTATAAATGTGGTAAAGCCAACCCAGGCTGGTTAACCCTTTGACTCCCAGAGGCGATTAACCTGTTACTTCTCTCTACAAATTCCATTCATTATCTAGGAAATAGGTAATGAGAATACATGTATCCACAAATAAAATGATTTTATCATCTTGGTAACAGACCATCAACAAAAGTAGGGAGTTTTTTCTCGATTTAAACTTGACGTGCGGAGAACAAGCTTTGAACCTGTTCCTTTTTCAGACACCTCATTAATTAGTCCAAGCCACATCCTTTATTCCATGTCTACTGGCTTCAGTGACGGCAAAGGAAGGGTAAAGAATTATATTTTGATCTTCTAGGAAAAACAATAAAACCTCTTCCTTTAGTCGATCATCATCTGGTCAAATAATTTTCAAAACCTAGAAGCGCAATTATAACACTGTTTACAGTTATCTCATTAGCGAAATATTTCGCATGCTGTTCAATCAATATTTTCAATGAGTTTTATTTACCTTAATCAGACCGAATGCCGCCTAAGCTAAATTCTGAGCCAATCACAGGCCCTGCAAGGCACAAAGTCGCAAAGAAAATCCACATCTCTCTATTGTAAGATTAGAAATCTCTGCATACAGAAGAAGTAAACAAACATCAAATCTTTTGAGAGGTCACAAGCGATGATCCTACATAGCGACTCAATTTAGTCTTTACCATGGCTTTTCCAGAAAATTTTGCTTCTTGGTCGCTCTGTTGTCTTTATTGACAATTAAATTTGCGGGTGAAGAAGGTGAGTTATAATTTCATTTCCGCCGAGCTGATATAAAACCATTACAGTTCAACTAAGTCAGACTCACATTCGATTTCATATTCGTTATTTTCAGTTTTTTTTCAGATATAAAGGTTACATGGTCAAATAGACTTGAGACCGTTCAGCCTAAACTTACTTATCAAAACTCTAAGATAATTG